TGCTGTTGCTCTAAGTTGCAACGCCTTTTCTAATTGAGAAATTTATGACTTCGATTTGCTGCGGATTTATTCCATTAAAACCGTACCCTTGTGGATCCTTTCTTTCTCTGGATTGTACTACGTTCGGCTTTATAATGATTCTCTGCTAATGCGGGATAACGACGGGAATAACATTCCGATCCAAAGTAAGAACATTAAACCGTTGAATCGTCAAAGGATTTTTAAAGTACTTTGATTGGTTCTTCGTAAACGATTAAATTACCATTATTTTATTGGCATGTTGCTTAATTGCTGGACTGCACTTTGATCGTCATTTTAATTCTCTAGTAATCTTTTCGAACGATGGGATTTATTCTTTTGTGCGTTGGAGGAGGTTCATATCTCCATTTGTCTCTTACATCTTTCACAATGATATATCATCGCTCTTATTTTTAACATTATTATTTTGTTTTGTTCGGAATATTTTTGCTGATAGTATTTCATATCCAAGTTTTTCAGTCAATTCTCTCCTCATTATCCAACCATTGCAAACGCATATGAATCCTTAATTGCTCTGTACTTTTTAAAATTCAAAGGCTTCAAACAGGAAAGTGAAGCGATTTGGCACGCACGGCAAAAGGAATATAATGGCACTCTTCCAAAAGAGTATGTTTCATAAGTAAAGCTACATACGATGCCGAAGATATTGAAGCAGTCAGCTTTAAGTGAAATACTCTCTTCTCACAAACCTTTTTTTCTTCGTTTTTTGAAATTGAAGCGCTTTACAATTCAGAGTTCCGTACAATACAATGAAACAATATAGTTCACTGGCAACTCTAAATTCATAAGCTGTATTTGATTGAAGCTGCTTACAAACACTTAATTTGAAGCGTAAATTTCTTTCGGCTGCATGACGCGCAGAGAGATCGGGTTGGTCCTGCAGTGAAGGCAGCCGTGTGAGTGAGCTAAGTGTGCTGTGTAGGGAACGGACGATGCCCTGTGCATCTTGCTCGTGTACACTCCCTCCCCCAACCCCATCCCGACCCAGCCCTCGATGTTAACACGCCTGCGCCCTAGTCAGTAGTCGCCGCAGGGCGCGTGAGGGGAGACGAGACGCGACTGGAGAATAAGGCCTGTGGAGGATCGAGCCTGTCGAGAATCGGGCTTGTGGAGGATTGGGTTTGTGGAGTATTGGGCTTGTAGAAGATCGGGTTTGTGAATAATCGGGCTTGTGGATAATCGGGCCTGTGAAGGATCGGGGTTTTGGACGATTGGGCCTGTCGAGGATCGGCCCTCTGGAGTATCAGGTATGTGGAGGATCGGGTTTGTAGATGATCGGGATTGTGGAGAATAGGGATTGCTCAGGATCGGGATTGTGGAGGATCGGGCACGTGGAGTATCGGGCACGTGGAGTATCGGGCACGTGGAGTATCGGGCACGTGGAGTATCGAGCTTGTGGATGATATCACATCTGTTTGATGAGTCGGCCTGAGAGGATTGGACGAGAAAATAGAAAGGTACGGGACGGAGGAAACGTCGGGTTACAGAAGAGCAGAGAAGACTGGGCGGCTAAAGGTTTGGAGGTGGACGACGAAGGTAGCGCGCATGGTGCCAGATGGGAGGCTGCAGGAGCGGAGGCGAGGCGCCAGCCGCGTCGGGTCGGAAGGGTTGCGAAAGGGCGCAGTGTGTTGGGTGTGAGGAAGGTTGTGACATCAAGTCGATGTTTTCAAACATGGACGTATTTGAAAAAAAATGGTCCATATTTTTAAAATCGATTATTGTAGGCGAGTTTTTTTATCGCCCGTGGATGTCATGTGCTGATGCGTGAATTTATGGACATGGATGTTTTTGTTAATGTTTTTTCGTTCTAGATATTTTATTCTTGAAAGATAGAAATATTGCAATCGTAGAAACCCGTATTAAATTGTATACTTTGTAAATGAATATTCGTTTACTGCAAAAGTAACTAAGGGTGAAAAATAAGTGGTTCAAAAACTGTATATATTATTTTGTAATATTTGGTACTATAATTCAGTCTGTCATTATTGACATTGGTTTTGTGTTTGTGTTGTAAATCGTAATGATCATTTAATACGCACGGTCACCCTCTGCTGCCAACATGAATGTTGTGACTAAACCAGTTTTCAAAATAACGAGTTTTAAAAACTTTGTGGTATATGGGTAATGAATTATTCACGTCGTTGTGTTAATTCGGAATATCATTGTCTTGAATCATCGTTGACTTGTTGGCGATGTCGCAGGCCTAAGACGAGGAGTACGGGAGAAATGTGGTGTGGAGAAGCATCGAGCTGGATCAGACGACAGACTACTAGGGCATGATGGGCGGAAACGGAGGCGCAGATATGCGGTAGCAGAGAGGAGCTAAAGCGGTGCGAGGACGCGCAAGATCGAGGCACGAAGAGGAACAGAGGTGAGGAAGAGGCGGGCGAAGGCAAGGAGGAGGGGACGGTAGCGATAGATGCGGGAATCGAGGAGGCAGGAGCGGAAGCGACGAGAAGGGACGGAAGCGAGGAAGACAGGCCGCAGGAGCTGTGACGGAGGAAAGGAGGAGCGGGGAGGTAGAGAGGCGGAGGTGAAGAGGAGGAGAGGATGCAAGCGAGGAAGACCGGGGCGAAGCGAGGGCGAGGCGGAGGAGAGGAGGAGTGGGAGCGGAGAGGGGGAAGCGGGAACGGGGCCGTGGCGGGCGGCAGGGGGCGGTGTGGGGGCGGAGGCGCGAAAGAGAGGGAGGTAGAGAGCGGAGGTGAAGAGGAGGAGAGGACGCAAGCGAGAAGACCGGGGCGGGAGCGAGGGCGAGGGCGGAGAGAGAGGAGCGGGAGCGGAGAGGAGGGGAAGCGGCAGGGGCGGTGCGGGGGCGGAGGCGCGAAAGAGCGTGTGGGCGCGTTCCTTGGCGTGCGTGCGACAGCGCTGGCGGCCGGGGCCTTCCCTCGGCGGGGAGAGGAGCCGCGCGCCCGCCAGCGCCAGCCAGGTACACTGCGCGTATTGATTTGCCGCGCCCGGCGGCGCGGCGCGCGCGCGCTGCGGACAGGGGCGCGGGCCGGAGCAGGAGCGGCCGGGGGAGAGAGCGACGTCGGGACAGAATCATGGGGATGGGGAGGCAGGAACGGATCTGGGCGTGAGAAAGGGCGTGGTGAGGTGATCACGGGTGAGAACGATAGTGGGGGCGAGGTAATGGTAAGGGTAGGGCGTTGCAGGGGCGAGGGAAGGGCGAATGCGACGGCGAAGGTGATGGCAAGGGGGCGGGCGGTAAGGGACGGGAACGAGATCCAGAACGGGGTTGGAGGTGAGAATGGAGGGAGGAGAGCCGAGGCGGGGCCGTGGGCGAGGGCGGGGGCCAAAAAGCGGACGAGCACGAATACAGGACGAGGTCGGTGTGGAGAGAGAGGGTGTGGACGGATTCGAGAGCAAGGGCAAGGTTATAAGCTTGGGTGAGGGCGAGGTCATGGCAATGGACGTGAGCGAAGACGAGAACAAGTTCTATAAACAACGGCGAGGCAGAGGACGTAAGCGTGGGCTTGGTGGGGGCCAATAGAAAGGGCGAGGACACGGGGAAGTGTTTCTACAAGTGCTTACGTTGGACAAGAGTGATGATGCGGTCCGAAACTGGGGCGGAACGAAAACAAAAGCGAGAGCTTGAGGATCGGCGTGGGAGAATGAAAGGGAGGGCGCGCGTAAGATGGGTACATATAAGAGGGAGGTGATATAATGAAGAGTCACGAGTCAGTGAACACTCGTCTGCCATCTATTGAATCCACACCATCCATCGATAAAATGTTGATGCAGTTGGTAAATAACTTGGTTTGGGACACTGGTTTTCATTTCTAATTCTGTATTGAGTGTTACTACAATCTTGTAGCTGGGGTGCAATTGGAACGTAAATTAATGCTGTCTATGTCGAACAGCAGCACAAATTGTTAATACTGTTTTCAATAACTAATATAGTATTTCGGACTTTTATCCCGATGGCAACTGCCGTTTCGCCGGAGCAACACTGGATGTATACTTAATATTAATTTCATAATTATTTGAGCTTATTATAATTAATTTTGAATATTAATGAATAAATTTAATATTTTACTACAAATTACAATTAGAACTAATTATCATTTTTAATTTGTCGTGATACAATTGAAGACCTCCAAGCAATAACATGCTATGACACTATACGAAGTTTTGAGAAAAAGGAAATTAGGGTTTAAACATTTCCATAAATAAGTAAGATTAATGCATATGATATTTATTTTTTACAATCTATGAACATTCACAAGAGTAAATATCTGCATCTAAAGACATCTATGGTGGCAGAAATACACATCACAATTTTAACTTGCATTTAACGCAATACATACAATGTAATATGTCGACTCCTCTCGATTTAGTGCAGTGTTCTTGTAGCACTTCACTAGAAGCAATCGTGAACACACTGCAGACGTTTTCACAGATATTCCATAACAGCAAAACCCGCACATTTTATAAAGGTAACACATTATCGCATGCGGCTGACACCGATAGAGCTGGCTAAGGGCATCAACTGATGTCACTGCAGTCTCTCTGACCAGGATACATATGTTTTAATTAAATAAATATATAATGTTTAATAAACGCAAAAAAACGCAAAGCTAAATGCGAATCCAATATAGATGTTCCGTACATGCATTTTGAAATATTTCAACGATCTAGAATACACCAATAAAAACACCTGGGAGTCCCCTCGTGAAGTGAAGTGTAGTGTTTGCGGTATGTTAGATTTTAAGGCTACTATTGAAAATCTAGTTATACTTTTAATTTTCATTTCTTTGCAATATGATATAAATGTAAAATCTCACTGACAAAATGTTTATTTTTGAGATGTCATTTTTCTTATACATCGATGATACCCATGTTCATACTTAGCAATAAGGTGAAATGTTCGCCTGCAAGTGTTGTTTGTGAATGTTTGATGGCTTTCTTCTTGTTTTATGAAGTGATGCTGTAGCCTAACGATAAAAGTGGCGTGTGCGCAGGTGCTGGCTGGCAACGTGAACACGTACCTGGTGGCGCGCCAGCCGCTGGAGCTGCCGTTCGTGGCCAGCCGCGTGCGCTTCATCCCGTTCTCCGAGCACCCGCGCACCGTCTGCATGCGCGTCGAGCTGCTGGGCTGCCCCTGGGAACGTAAGTAGCCTCCTCGCTCAAATATACGCACGCGCACACGTACACGCGCGCACGCACCAAAACGCGCTAATGTCCACTCGCGCACGCACACGCCTCACACGTTCACACTGTCACGTTGACATTTTCACGATCGCGCTCGCTCGGAAGCGTTCGGTTGTGTTCGAGCACTGCGTTCGGGCGCGTTCGGGTGCGATCGGGCGCGGTCGCCGGGGTCAGGCGAGATCGGACACGGTCACACGCGGTCGCACACGATTGGAAGCGATAGGGACGGTCGGGAGCAATGGGGCACGGTCGGGCTATACACACCTCTACTTATGTATATGCACGCTTTGCATGGTCTCTTTGCTCGTTCTGTTGTATGCAATGTTTGGACCCTCGTATACGTCTTCATTGGCCTACCCTTGACAAGGGCGGTATTTCTGGCAATTTCTTCTTCGGCACATTTTTCCCCCCTTCAAATTAATGCAGATATTTTTAGATTTTCTATTTTTGTCAATGTCCTCGTCTTTCAGGCGCCATCCAGAGTGAGGTTTTCTGGGTTTACTCAATCGCATAAGGCGTATGCCGTGATGTTTTTTATTTCACATCCGTCACATGGCACACTGAGAATTTTCTACTCTTCAGAAACTTTTTCTTCTCTTCAGTTTTTGGGATATATCGATTAAAAATTCTACAGATGAGGCATATCCGCAGAAATATTGAATGTAAGAATAACATATTTCTCAAGAAAAGTGAAAAGTTAATTTTTTGCACGTTTTTGGTAAAATATATTTTATGTAAAATGTGGAAGTAAATATTATTTTCATCTTACGTATACCTACAGAAACAAAAAAGACTTACAAAAACACAAAAATATAAATTCTTGTAAATCTGAAAAATCCGATCCTGGAAATTAATGGATACTAACCGATACCATTCATATACATCTATCAATTTATTTATACTTTTCTTTGGATACCTAATATACAGCATCCACGCCATTTCGAAACCTCCCAGTTGCCCTTTCTAGGCTCGCGTTGGTTTGAGGTTCTTTACCTCGAGCATGCCGTTTGCTCCACTCCAACTCAAGGATTAAGGCGAAAGGAAAACCCTCGAGAGTTGTGCAACATTTTGTAAACAATTTTCACACAAGCTATCTCGTGAATTTGTACTTAAATTTTTACATAAGAACTATCTGAATTCAGTGCGCTGTTCTTTGACTAAATGTGTAGTATGCGTGTCTCACGCTGTTCATGCGCAGTGTCATAGGTCCAAATTTCACTTTTCATTTTTCTGTTTAATTATTTAACGTTAAAAACAAAACATTGTGTGTGGTAATTTACAAACCATAAACATGATATTATTAGCAATTACGTAATCAGTCGGCGATATTAAATAATATTATGAAAACTATGAAAAAATAAAATCAATTTTACAAAAATTATAAATAAACTGAAATTTAATTTTAAAAAACTGAATCTCAAGTCCATGAAATTCAGAATACAGAAGTAAGCAAATAATATTGGAATCCAAATATTACATTCTTGTCGATCAAGACTAAAAATATTTGTCCGGCTGTCCGGTTCAAGCCCGGAAACAACTGATTTTGATGTGGAAACCGGCCGTGAAAGCCTACATTGTATGTTAAAAATATTTGTGCTTGTCTAAATCAGTATAAAAATATTCCATAAATAGTTCATACAAACAATATTATACAACAGAAAATATTTCCTTTTTAAATCTATACATTTATTTTTTATTATTTTCTAGTAGTTTTGAGAAAAAATATTTTCGATATATACTCGTATGATTGCCCATGACCATTAGTGTTAATCCAAATTTTCCTCATTAAGAGGGCCAATCAAATATTAATTAATTTCTTCATGTTAAATCTTACGTCCGGGCAAGGAATTAAATAATTTGTTTAGTAAAAGTTTGGTAGATCAGCACGTACTCTTTTGTTGGCAGATTGTCCCATCAGGGTTTTTCATTCTTAGTTGTACCTTATGGTCTCTTTTCCGCGGATATGTTGCGATGGAAAGACCATTTGGAGTGAATACCAGAATTCGAAAGGTTAGGACGCGGAAGGATGAAGGTAATGTAATAGCTTAAAGGCTTTCGGCGTGGTCACATAGTATCGAGTTATGCGACTACATATATAAAAATTACCTATAAAATAAAATAAATCTTTCATCTTTATTATAATTATATCTTCATAAAATATTGAAAGTAAAATGTCGTGAACACAAACATTTACAGTAATATAATCACTAACATTAGTTGCAATGTAATTTCTAAAATAACACCTAATGGAACTAATATATAATTACATTAACTTAAGCAGTACATCGTATTTCACCTTTTTATTTAAAATTGTTTCCCTCCCCTTCCACATTTCTAATGGAACCTGATGGTTGTGATTTCGATATAGACTTTCTCTCGGTCGGCATTGTCAAGGAAATATGAAACGTTTTTCCGTATGCATCGCCAGCTTTTAATTGTGGTTTATTATAGTAATGATATATGAGAATGGGACCACAGCCATTTCCAAAACGTCATATTATATGACGTAATAATTATAATAAAGATGTAAGACATTTTAAAAAAGCTGGCTGGATTTTTGACACTAACATGTCAGCTAGGTCGAATTTAGTCGAAGTCTAGAAGATCATTCTTGCGGCCGGTGCGCTCATTGGTAATTTTCTGCGGTTTCTCCTATCAACACCAGTCGAATGCCCTAACGAAGCAGTACCCTAACAAACGAGCCACCGACCGCACGCGATCTTTCCGTCCTCCTCCTTCCCTTTCCTCGCCCCTTTGCTTACACACACACACACACACACACACACCTAGATGCGCTACGCTACCACACCTGTCAAGAGACCAATCGTGAGCTTAGGATGGGAGTCTTAGAGCTTGGTCGGCGCCTCCCTGGTGGGAGATACTTGATTGGGGAAAATCCCCACAAGCTGACGTAGGTCGGCGCCGGATCTGGGCACTCATAGGGGGAATATCATCATCATCTCCAGCGATAAAACATGAACTATACTTACGGTACACTCGAGCTTAGCAATTGACGCGCCCAAAATCGCTAATTAATAAAAAAAATAAGAATGGGTTCATGTCTATCACCAAATATGGAAGCTGTTAGGCTGACCATAAAAACTTGGCGTCTTTAGCTGATTTGCTTAACTGCACTCCGTGAAGTCAAGGAATTTAAGTGACTCGAGACGGCATGGATTGCCGGATGGGTGATCGTCTGGGAACCCCTGATACTAATGGCACCGAGCTGCCTGGTCGATGGGTTAAAAGGCATCGACTGACTGCGACGTTACAAGACAAACGACAAATAGCTTAACAGAGGATTACTTCAATGTGTATTAGCTCAATGCCCTAGAAGGGCTAACGAGACGTGTTCCGTAAATAATGCAGCGATTTAAAAAAAAAAATTAACAAGCACAAAAACCCATGCCCAAGGTACTGTTTCACCCCATGACCTTTCGAACAGACGTAGTTACTATTTTCTTCGCTTAGCAGCCTCGGCTACCTGGGCTGGAACATTATATAACTTCTCTTTTCCCCACAAACGCCACATATAGCTTTTACCGTTTTGACGTTAAGTACATACGGTAAATATAAATATACTGTAGATAAGAACTTTTATGAAAAGTTCCTCGGAGATGCAGCGTCTGAAAATTTCCTAGCGTAGCATGTACACATACGTGTCGCTTGGGGATGAAATATCGATATGCAACATCATGACACCTCGCCTACGGCTTATGACATGTTTTAGAGATGCATTTGCGTGAAAACATGACGTGATAGAAGATTGCTTAAGCTTGAGATCAAACAAATTTATTCAAATGTGGAGGAAGAGATTTAGTAGTTCAGGGAAACATGAGTTTAGTTAAGGTTGTTCGTTGCAGTGGAGTGATGAGTTTTGGACGATTACAGTTTGTCATCATAAGCTCATAAGTACTTTTATTAATCTCCTGAATAACAATGTAAATTATCGTGCGTTAAACGATAAAAGCTTTCCATTACGTAGTTTTTATGAGTAAATTGTTCACAGCATTACTCATCCCGACAGGGATGGGAACGTGCGTCTTCTGGTTTTCTTTGTCCCACCGGTTTAACTACTAAACTACCAAGACGGCCCATCCTTCGAACGTTCATTGTTTAGCCCGTGTATTGTTCAAGCATTTCATATTATTCACCCCCTCTCTATAAATTATATGATTATGTCGAATTTGGCAGTCATACAAGTGGCATGGTGGTGACTGACAAAAATTTATTTTTATTCAAATTAATATCAGAAGGTTGAGAAAATAAGATAGAAAATATACTATTGAAAATGATATTGCACAGCCGAAAATGTAATAAAACACTTAGAAATCATAAAATTAAAATTACATTAGAAATGCAATTAGAGAATTTTGGAAATAAGAGCAAATAATGGGAAATCATAGCGCCCATGAAATCTCGCGCCAAAAACGCTTTTTTCTACCGGTATTTATAATCCAACTTAATAAGTACTTCATGAGTTAAGACAGATCCCAGAGCTGAATAAATCGTCCACAAATTATCCAAATTGTACCTACATAGTTTTTACAATTTTTACAACATTAAATAAATAAACGCTTTATGTTCTCACGTCCTTAAACGCTGCCGCTGAGGCCCGTGATATAATGGCTAGCGCATACGCCTTCCCCGCTGGGCCTGAGTTCGATCCCCCGCTGAGCCATGTGGTATTTGTGGTGAAGAAAGGCTTTCTCAAAACGTTTTCTACTGGTTCTCCCGGTTCACCTACCTCTCATTCGACGATTATCTGTCATTCTCTTCATCGTCATTATATCTGTCATCACATTTAGTGATTTATCACATCATTCCTCCCACGACATTAGAAATGAAAGGGCCTCTAAATAAATTTAAATTGGTCGCTCAGATACCAATGTATCTGAGAAGCTATTTATAAGGCTTTAGGAACGTGCTTGTTCAGACTTCGACTGAAAATGGTAATTTTCTCTCCGCGGTTCTTTCACCTACTACTTGGCGAGAATCTAAATTGTAGGCACTTGTTAGCTCCCAAACACTCGAACAATTACGCGTGCCTCTGAGCAACGGTTCGTGAGTGATGCGCTTGTAATGTAAATGCGCTTGAAGTGACTGATAAAATATAAACATAAATGACGAGATAGAGGATGATTCAAATGGCGGTATTGAATGTCTTGACATTTTGTCCATTAAAAATCATTAACGGTTCTCTGTACTTGGAAGTAAATAACTCCCCCGGATAAAAACTTTACCATTCCTTTTGTTCAGTCGGGCAACAGTTAAGAGTTGTCCTGAAGATGGATAGCGTAAGACTTGCCACCGAATACACTCAAGAAACTATCTACGACTTTGGGTGAGCAATTGCGACCTAGATGGCGACATTGACGTTGACCAAATGACGATATTGATTATGATTGAGATCACGGAACCCCTTATGTTTTAGCTATTGTTACGATAACATTGCTATTGGACTATTTCTCTATCTATTTTGAACGCATCTTCAATTTTAGCTGCTTGTGCTCAGGTGTTATATTATTTCACGAGGGCAATTTTTAAATTTGTTAGTATCGTGCAAACCTTCAATGAATATCTGTTTCATTAAACAGACCTGAAAGCTAGATAGATCTTCCCTTATAAGAATCCCTTATAATCCCGTAGAAGCTCAAGATCGGACTGTTGCTAACGAATAAAATTCTCCCTGGAATAAAAAAAGTTCTCTTGTATTCTCCACGCAGTCGGGTAAAAACTGATCTGTTCACAAAGGCGGCACAAAACACGCGAAATTCGCCGAATAACCGAGGTGCTCGTCGAGGTTTCTGCTGATT